AACTAATTTGCTCCTCCCCTCTGCACCGCGAAGTTGGTTGCAGATCATCAGTGCTGCCATCCTCAAAACACCAATAGTTATACCAATCATCGTGGATCATGATAAAATCATCACTTGATATAGAAAAATGGTTTTGAATTTTAACCAAATTTACCTGTAGTTTCCGCACAGTCAATTAGGTACCTGTTGTTGATTTCTATGGTAACCAAGAGCAATTGGGTTGGACAACCCACACGTTATCATTTTTGACGTTATACCACTTCTACCTCAAATCAACCTTTACACAGAAAAAAAAGGAAACAGTACAAGTTGAAATTAAAATAATGTCTTTTAAATCAATTTTATTCACCACTCTAGTTTTAAGTCTAACCAAGTCTGTGATCAGTTTTAGCTTTGGAGAATTTTTTCATGATAATGTTGTGTGTTTGTTCGGTGAGTGCTGTGGCCGCAAGCAGATCAAAGCAGATTTTTACAGTAAGTATTTATTGATGTAATCAACGATATAATGTTTAATGATTTTTTCCTTCTTGCAATGCAGAATTGGAGAACCTATTGTATTACAACATTTATGGACAACATTTGGCCAATAAGATTGTCATTGCAGCAATGAAATCACATTGGGACAGTCCGCATGCACAGAAAGCTCTAACCTTGAGTTTCCATGGATGGCCGGGGAGCGGAAAGAATTATATCACCAGGTTCATAAAGGAGAGTGTCTATCTGAAGGGCTCGAACAGCAGGTTTGTTCATCACTTCATGGGGAGAGTGCATTTCCCGCAAGAAAAAGATGTTCCTCTATATAGAGTATGTGCTGCATTCGTAAATTGATTTTCTCAAATAAGCGTTCGATTTTAGGAGAACTTGTATAATTGGATTAAAGGTAACGTGAGCGAATGTCCGTATCAGATCTTCATCTTCGACGAGGTGGACAAAATGCCTGATCGAGTTCTGGATGTGATCAAGCCGATGATTGATTACAACGAGAACGTGGATAAGGTGGACTACAGGAAGTGCGTGTTCATATTCCTATCGAATACGGGAGGCAGCATTATTACGCGCGAAACGTTGAAACTTTGGAAGGAAGGGATCAAAAGGGAAGATATTCAACTGAAACATTTCGAACAGCACATCTCCAAAGGAGTTTTTAATGAGAAAGGTGCGCTCGCGTCTAATTAGTTTACTTATTAAATTTCCTACAATTTCCTTCTTCGCTTCAGGTGGATTCTATCATTCCGATACGATTAAGAGCAACTTGATCGATCATTACATTCCGTTTCTGCCGATGGAAATGGAGCACGTGCGGTTGTGCATCGTGAATCTCTTCGAGATGAGGCAGATCAAGAAACCGAGCGAAGAGGCGATCACGTAAATTTACTCTTACGGCGATGGTGAACTTTTTTTTTTAATCTCTTGCTTGCATCGATTTGTAGAGAAGTCTTGGATTTCATCGAGTGGGGACCGGAACCGGAGCGGAAGTATTCGAAGACCGGATGCAAGAGGTTGAGTCAGAAGGTCGCCCTGGTGGCGCACAAGTATAGAAAATCGAATTCCAAGGAAGAACTTTAAAAAGTACAATTGAACAAAAACACATTCAGCTAATTCACGTACAACTCTAATTTGTACTTATTTTTTACATGTTGTATATATAAATATTTAAAATAATTAAATTGATATTAATTAAAACCTATCCAATAAACTCATTTATTTTAATAAACCTTCTTATACGTAAGCAAGCCCGACAACCGAAAGAAATCCCGACTGTATTAAAGTCCTTACATAAACATATATCGGTGACAATCGCAATCCCGACAACCGAAATCCCGTTAATCAAATTCTCGACGTTTGAAATGCCGACTGTATCTAAATCCCGACTACCATAAAAATGTTATTGTAGAAATTTATAATAATCAAAGCCACTGTCGGGATTTCGATATAGTCGGGATTTTGACATAGTCGGGATTTCAAACGTTGGGATTTCGGTTGTCGGGCTTGCGATTGCCACCGATAAGAAATACGGAGTTTGTAAGTTATGCAACCCATTTCACAAGAGGAACTTACGAATTACAGCTAAATGGATGATACCACAGCAATGTACAAATACTCGCTACATTCCCTAAACATATGCATTTATTGACTTGATTCAATCTATTATAGTTTCCAAGAAAATCGGAAAATATGAAAATTATTATTGTGTAGATGACGCCAAATGTTGTCTTCTTTCAATTATATTACATAGGCCTTAATGGTGTAATTAAAATTAATAATTAATTTAAAAACATAATAATTGTAGATTAGTCTAATTAGTATTTCATAATTTGCTGATCATTATTAACAATTTCTGCAACGTGAAAATGATCTCGTGGTATAGTTCATTGGGTCACTAGAAGATGGGGCTGATAACGTAGTGTAATAGTTGTTCAAATCATGACTTCAGCTCAAATACACTAGATGTCATGTTATGTATCCAATAGAAGCAATCTCATGAAGTTACTTAATTAATTACAGTTACTATTATAAAATTACAAGTAAAGAAATATTTCTAGAATTAAACGAATACAGCAGTTAATATAAGAAAACTGTTATTGATCAATGAAACATTTCTTTCCAAATGGACATAATCTACACGTTTCTAGTAAACTTTAGAATCATTAATTTCTTATTAAGAATATTTGGTTTACTAATTTTCTTTAGTTCGTTTATCTGGCCAATATTTAAAAATTTTAACTATTATGACTTTTTTCTAAATACAAATTTAAAACAAATAACAAATAAAATATTAGATTAGACAAAAATAGTAGAGAATAAAATTAAAGTAAATTTATTAGAAAAATTGTGACCAGGCGCATCCACCATTAATACTGTCGACCAAAACTTAAATTTTGCTTCAGTTTAAGAATAATTTAATAATCAAACATGTTAATAGTTAACCAATGCACGTTTCGGATAGGGATTGAATGGGTGACTATTAACTAACAAGGACAAAATGAAAATTAAAAAAAAACGTAATGTAAAATAAATGAAAAGATGACGAGTATTAAATTTAATTATATTTTTATAAAGACAAAAAATATTACAATAAACTATATATGTATAATAAAAGTACGTCGACTTACGCTAAATAAAAACTATACAATAATCATTTCATTATTTTCACTTAAATATAAACAACATGTTCTTGCTTCATATGTTTCTTGTTTTGTTTTGTTTGTTTGTTTATTACAGAAAAATAGGGACAAACACAATGAAAAATTAATAAAAAAAAACAATAGAACAAGAATATAAAACAAAACATACACTAATTGGCCTACGTAACTAAAGGTAGGTTCAGTGTTTGTGTGTATGTTTATGTCTCCACTTAATAAAAAAAAATACGCACTATATACAAAGACTTCCTCACAACCGAGGAATAATAATAATAGTAATAATAATAACTAAAAAAAAAGAATCTTATACAAGTATTAACAATTTTCTTCAATATCACCAAAAAAAAATATAATAATAATATATAATAATAAAAATACATACATAAATTGTGTGTGTCGAATTTTATTTTATTTTTTGTGAACAAAGAGACGGAAAATCTTCATATTTTTCTTTCTCTATACATATATATAATAATAATTCAACAACAACAACAAAAAATTGAAGAAGTACAGTTAGTGTGTGGTTTTTTTTCTTTTCTTCTTTTTCACGACGACAGATCGGAGGTGTTGTAAATATACACACGGATAAAACAACAAACGAAAACGCATTATTTTTGTACAAGAAACCAAAAAAAAAACATGCAACAACCCTTAACTACATCAATTTACTTTAGTTTAATTTACAATAATAATAATAATAATTCATTAATTAATTAATCAATATGTTTTTTTTGTTATAATATATACTTTGTTTTATATCTTTTTTTACTTCTTCATACAATTATCACATGTTCAATTTGTAGGTTTCTTAGGTTTATTTACTTTTAAATATCTGCCTCCTCTTCCTTTCATCATTATATAATAATTTTCACCAATTTTTGTTTTTTTTTCTTCTTGGACGCAAAAGAGTTGTTCGTAGTGTAAAAAAATCTAGTCGCTTTAAAAAATATCATCAGTTGTATAACTTTTGTTTGTCATTTTTGTTTTGTTTGTTGTGCGCACCAATCTATATATATATATAATACACTTATTAAAAGTTATTACATGTATGTATACTATATATGTAATGTATATTTACTCCACTGAGTTTTTAACCTGGGTTAGTTTCCTTATCAAGATTTAAATTTACATAATATTTATATATACTTAATTCATCATTATCAATTAACGTTTCTCTTTTTTTTTGCGTTTTTCCTCTTCTCAATCATCTTTATATACATATATATAGAAATCTGTATATCATCATAATAAATATATTACTTTCGTCCTGAACTGTTGCACTTTTGTTTTTTTTGTTTGAGTTAGAGAGTTTCACTTAATTTGTATCAATTGTTTTTGTTTTTCCCAAAAGAAGACACATAATTTGCTTCGCTTTTTTTTAAAGTTTGTTTCATCTTTTGTTTCTCCGCTCTTCTTCGTCGATCAAGGTACAAACGTTTACAAAAAAAAAATAATCTCAAGCGATCAATTCAAATTCCAATCACGTAACTTAATAAAAGAAAACGAATATTTAAAACAAAAAAAAAATTATATAAATCACAGAACGTTACAACAGCTTGCTTTTCTTTTCGATAATAATAATTTAAAAAAAAAATAAAATAAATTTTCTTCGCTTGAATTCGCTTTTATTTCTATATATATATTATTATTATTACTATTTAGTTTCCTTTTATAAACAAAAAAAAAATCATATATAAACAATCTCTAACCGAGTTTACAAATAATAAAGGGAAAACTTTATACACATAAATAATTTAGAGCAAAAAAAAAAAATTACAACGAATTGAAAAAAAACGTACTAAAAATTAAACAAGGAGTGTTAATTAAATAAATACTATACAGAATGTACACTAATTAAGACTTAAATTAATTATAAGGACAAAAAAGAAATATCATTAAAGTAATTTCACTTAGAATATATATATAAAAAAATCGGTTAATTTATATGTATGTATATAAAAAAAAACAAAATAGTAACGGGAGGCGTCTTGTACTTAAGTACAAAATTAATTAATTAAAGTATTGCAAAAATTACACAAAGTATTTACACAAAAAAAAAAATGGATTATTACAAATGCATTTCGTTTAAAAAAATTAATTAATTAGTTAATTATGATTTTTTCTTAAGAAGTCGCTTCGTTTTCTTTACATATTTTCTTCCATTTAAATTTACTTTGTAGAGCAGTGTACATCTGAGATCATTTCGCTAATGACATAACAATTACAATAATAACTTCATCTTCAACTGTTTTGACTGTCGTTCTTTTGTTTCGACAGCGCGCCTACTTACACGAAGATAGAGAGAGTTATTATATATATATATACTTTTCTTTCACATTTATATATTATATTGACGATAAATATTCTATTCGTCTCTTTCCAAATAGATTTTCTCACTTACATAATTATATATATATTTTGCTACTCCGAAACAGGAAAAACAATTTTTAAAAAAAAGTATTAGAAGAACGAAAACTGTTTTTTAAACTTTCTGCTTCTCATCGTTCAAATTTTCATTTTTTTTTTGCAACTTTTCATTATTTTTTTCTTTCCGTCCGTCCAGGCACCTCTCGCAGTCTCATTTCCAAAAATGTTTCCTTTCAAATCCTTCTTCAATCATCTTATTCGGACTCTCCTCCTCGTCCTCTTTCGTGAAAAACTTCTTCACTTCACTCCTTCTTCACGTGTAGAATAGAACAGAGGAGGTAGAGCGCCGAACAGCACCAGACTTTTCTCTTTCTCGTGTAAAAAATCTACATCCAAAATACCATGTCTCTCTTATCACAAAAAAACTTTTTCCATCCCGATCCACTACTTTCTTCGCTTCCTCCTCTTCCACTTCAGATATAATAAAAAACACATTTATAATAATAGATGTAATATATATATAATATAATATAATATTTATCAACAAATAGGTATATTTCTTCATCTCTCGCTTCACTACCTTAACATTTAATGGTTCCTTCATTTCATATTTACAAAAAAACGTTTGTATTCATTTATTCAATTGATTTAGAAAGAAAAATTATAAAAAACATTGTCTGTGTTGTATTCGGAGTACGAAACGAAATAATAATGAACAAACAAAATAAAAAATAATAGAGAATTAGAAAACAGTTTTACGTGATTAACATCATCGTCGAAACATTTGCGATTTGTTTAAAGAGAGAAACGAAAAGATACAAATAATAAACAGAAAATCAAAAAAAAAAAACCACAACCAAAAATTTATTTAATAGAAGAAAACGAGTCGCACTTCTTTTTTTTTTCCATTCTTCTTCACCACGTTCATCCAGAGCGGGGAATTTTACTTTTACTTTCCGCACTTTACCAAAAAAAAACAATAATAATAATAAACCGGGGTGGTCGATCTTTAATGCCGTTTGCATTGAAGGAAAGAACCACCGCCCATCGATCAATCATCACAACCACTAACCTCTCTGAGATCTCTTCCCGTTCTAATTCGTTGTAAACCGAGGATTTTCCATCCACGTTTCTTTCTTCTCTCTATATATGTTTCTTCTGGTGCCGAAGGCGGCGC